TCTTGACCAGAATAAACTGCAAAGTCGACCAGATTGTGTTTCTGTGAGACTAGAGAGAAGTATGACCAGAGAAGAGAGTAAACAAATGTGAGAGAAGGAGAGATATTAATAGAACAGGAAGGACAGAAATTATGTTTGTTGGTTATCTAACGCTACAGATAATTGCAGTGGTAAGAGATGAAGCGCAGCCGTCAGCAGAAGTTCAGATGTTTGGACGCTCCATCTGTCCATCCATATATAGTCTTGAGAGAAGTTGCTGAGCTCAACCAACCCGCCACCTACAGATAAACAAGCATCAGAAACTTCAGCTAGAACCCCGTGAACTACTTCAGATTCTCTCTCTTTCTCTGATGTGACATTAGCAGGCTGGTCATTTTTAATGAGTTCTGCCAAGTTCTGGGTAAATAAATTATGCTGCTAATTAGACATGAATTTAGACACTCCCTCATGTGCTTCCAACTCTGGCCTGACCTTCTTCTGTCTATCTGTCTGTCTCCCTCCATCAGTTAACTAGATTTTATGCAGAAAACATGAGCGATGTCTTCCATGCTATGGTGTTCTTGATTGTCACAATTTTATCGACAACCTAATTTACACGTCAAACTTGAATAAATATTAATTTGAAAAAAAAAAACTAACACTAAATTATAGTGTAAGAATCGTTACAGAGGTGATTGACTTTTATATTATTGTCAAAAGGTGTTTTTAATGTTCATGAGTGTCTCGGTGTTCCCTTTTTTCTCAAACTATCTCAAAGAATCCAAGACTGTACAGTAGTTTAAAAAAAACTACAGAATAAAAAGTGTATATGTAATGTAAATTTCAATGGAACACAACAAAAATAGCATGACTTTATCCAATGACTTTATTCTTTATCCATTTCGATCATTTAATAGAATAAATAATCCAGAGATTATCAAAATAGTTGCAACTCATATTTAATATATTGTATTGTAATGTTTTTTATTATTATATCTATGTCTCTAAATAAATATTTAATCTGTCCTTTGAATATTTTTTTTTTTTTAATTAAAATAAAATTATTATATTTGTTTGTATAGACATGATGGACTTTTATATTATTTTCTAAATCGTTAATATTGAGTATTGAACATTGATTTTTGGTTTGAATTGAATTGAATTGAATTGAATTGTATGGAAGCCTGTTTCCATTGTTTCACTTTGAGAAGAAAAGTTAGAATTTTAGAGTTTATATTGCAAGTTTTTTTGCAAATGTTAATTTATTTCTCACAATTCTGAAAAAAAGTCAGAATTGTGAGATTAAAAAGTTGCAATTAATTGTACTTTTTTTTTTATTCCATGGCAAAAACACACGTCCATAGTATTGTCCTCAGTGAAAAGAAATCAAAGTCTGTACACCTCTGTGTTTCTTCTGTTTCTCAGATTGAGAAGCTCTCAAAAGATCTCAAAGAAGCCAAAGCGAAGGTCATCACCGTGCATGTGCCTGTGGCTCCGCCCCCCAGCCAATCAGCTTCCACTGTGCCGCCTCCGCCTCGTCCTGGTGGAGCTTGCCTCCCACCTCCTCCTCCACCGGGACAAACGGCCATGCCCCCACCGCCGCCGCCTCCTCCTCTGCCCGGAGCACCTAGTCTGCCTCCGCCCCCTCCGCCGCCTCCTTTACCCGGAGCACCTGGTATGCCGGCGCCCCCTCCGCCTCCACCTCTTCCTGGGGCAGCCAGTATGCCGCTGCCCCCGCCTCCTCCGCCTTTACCGGGCGCACCTGGAATGCCGCCTCCTCCTCCTCCTTTACCTGGAGCACCTGGTATGCCACCACCTCCACCTCCTCCACCCGGAATGGCCGGTATGCCTCCTCCACCTCCTCCGATGGGCGGTCCTGGGATGCCTCCGCCCCCTCCGGGCGGGTTTGGTGGATGGGCACCTCCTGTTCCTCAGCTGCCCTTCGGCCTCCAGCCTAAGAAAGACTACAAACCTGAGGTGCAGCTGAAGAGAGCCAACTGGAGCAAGGTGTGTATGTTCCCACACGTCTGCACCTCCTGTTTAGGCTAGAAATGATTGTACATTGGCCTCATCAGCATCACTATTGAGTCCAATGACTATTAGAGAACTAGCTGTAGCTGTTTAATGCTCAAACTAGGTAATGATTCTAGAGGAGAACGGCACAAAAATGAAAAACAGTCGGACTTGGCACACTTTTATAGAACAAAATACATCAAAAAGCGATTCAAAAGCTACATAAAAATAGTAATAGTATAGTCATGGCCGGACTTACCATTGGGCTTGAGTGGGCTGCAGCCCATGGGCCCCTCCTTGTAGGGGGCCCCGCCTTTGCCCATTTACGTTTGTTTGATTTATTCGTTATATGCAGGGCCGGTGTTGTGCCGAATTCTGCACCCCTGCCAGATTATGCACCCCCTCGTTGAAGTCGCTACCTGATTGCCTAATCCCAACCCCACCGCTAATCCTAACCCCTCCCCCACACCTACTCCTAAACCTACCAATACTAGGGGGTGCATAATTTGGCAGGGTGCAAATTTCGGCACTACACCGGCCCGAGCATCAGAAACTTCAGCTAGAACCCCGTGAACTACTTCAGATTCTCTCTCTTTCTCTGATGTGACATTAGCAGGCTGGTCATTTTTAATGAGTTCTGCCAAGTTCTGGGTAAATAAATTATGCTGCTAATTAGACATGAATTTAGACACTCCCTCATGTGCTTCCAACTCTGGCCTGACCTTCTTCTGTCTATCTGTCTGTCTCCCTCCATCAGTTAACTAGATTTTATGCAGAAAACATGAGCGATGTCTTCCATGCTATGGTGTTCTTGATTGTCACAATTTTATCGACAACCTAATTTACACGTCAAACTTGAATAAATATTAATTTGAAAAAAAAAAACTAACACTAAATTATAGTGTAAGAATCGTTACAGAGGTGATTGACTTTTATATTATTGTCAAAAGGTGTTTTTAATGTTCATGAGTGTCTCGGTGTTCCCTTTTTTCTCAAACTATCTCAAAGAATCCAAGACTGTACAGTAGTTTAAAAAAAACTACAGAATAAAAAGTGTATGTAATGTAAATTTCAATGGAACACAACAAAAATAGCATGACTTTATCCAATGACTTTATTCTTTATCCATTTCGATCATTTAATAGAATAAATAATCCAGAGATTATCAAAATAGTTGCAACTCATATTTAATATATTGTATTGTAATGTTTTTTATTATTATATCTATGTCTCTAAATAAATATTTAATCTGTCCTTTGAATATTTTTTTTTTTTTAATTAAAATAAAATTATTATATTTGTTTGTATAGACATGATGGACTTTTATATTATTTTCTAAATCGTTAATATTGAGTATTGAACATTGATTTTTGGTTTGAATTGAATTGAATTGAATTGAATTGTATGGAAGCCTGTTTCCATTGTTTCACTTTGAGAAGAAAAGTTAGAATTTTAGAGTTTATATTGCAAGTTTTTTTGCAAATGTTAATTTATTTCTCACAATTCTGAAAAAAAGTCAGAATTGTGAGATTAAAAAGTTGCAATTAATTGTACTTTTTTTTTTATTCCATGGCAAAAACACACGTCCATAGTATTGTCCTCAGTGAAAAGAAATCAAAGTCTGTACACCTCTGTGTTTCTTCTGTTTCTCAGATTGAGAAGCTCTCAAAAGATCTCAAAGAAGCCAAAGCGAAGGTCATCACCGTGCATGTGCCTGTGGCTCCGCCCCCCAGCCAATCAGCTTCCACTGTGCCGCCTCCGCCTCGTCCTGGTGGAGCTTGCCTCCCACCTCCTCCTCCACCGGGACAAACGGCCATGCCCCCACCGCCGCCGCCTCCTCCTCTGCCCGGAGCACCTAGTCTGCCTCCGCCCCCTCCGCCGCCTCCTTTACCCGGAGCACCTGGTATGCCGGCGCCCCCTCCGCCTCCACCTCTTCCTGGGGCAGCCAGTATGCCGCTGCCCCCGCCTCCTCCGCCTTTACCGGGCGCACCTGGAATGCCGCCTCCTCCTCCTCCTTTACCTGGAGCACCTGGTATGCCACCACCTCCACCTCCTCCACCCGGAATGGCCGGTATGCCTCCTCCACCTCCTCCGATGGGCGGTCCTGGGATGCCTCCGCCCCCTCCGGGCGGGTTTGGTGGATGGGCACCTCCTGTTCCTCAGCTGCCCTTCGGCCTCCAGCCTAAGAAAGACTACAAACCTGAGGTGCAGCTGAAGAGAGCCAACTGGAGCAAGGTGTGTATGTTCCCACACGTCTGCACCTCCTGTTTAGGCTAGAAATGATTGTACATTGGCCTCATCAGCATCACTATTGAGTCCAATGACTATTAGAGAACTAGCTGTAGCTGTTTAATGCTCAAACTAGGTAATGATTCTAGAGGAGAACGGCACAAAAATGAAAAACAGTCGGACTTGGCACACTTTTATAGAACAAAATACATCAAAAAGCGATTCAAAAGCTACATAAAAATAGTAATAGTATAGTCATGGCCGGACTTACCATTGGGCTTGAGTGGGCTGCAGCCCATGGGCCCCTCCTTGTAGGGGGCCCCGCCTTTGCCCATTTACGTTTGTTTGATTTATTCGTTATATGCAGGGCCGGTGTTGTGCCGAATTCTGCACCCCTGCCAGATTATGCACCCCCTCGTTGAAGTCGCTACCTGATTGCCTAATCCCAACCCCACCGCTAATCCTAACCCCTCCCCCACACCTACTCCTAAACCTACCAATACTAGGGGGTGCATAATTTGGCAGGGTGCAAATTTCGGCACTACACCGGCCCGTGGCATAGTCGACGTGACTGGGGGGCGCCGCACGAAAGTTTTTTTTCTCGGAAGAGCGCCCTCTTGTGACCATTGTGCGCTCCTATACCCATATATTAAGCAAATACTGACAATTAAAATTTTAGTACTGATCGATCATCGAACTGATTAAAATAAAATTGACATCAACGAAAAATCTTAAGATTTGACAACATGTCATGTTGGATTAATTAGCTATGCATGGCACACACATAGTTTTGCCATTTGCAGAGGCGGACAGTAACTAAGTACATTTACTTGAGTATTGTACTTAAGTACACTTTTTGAGTATCTGTACTTTACTTGAGTATTATTTTTTCTGGGAACTTATGACTTTAACTTCACTACATTTGAAAGACAAATATTGTACTTTTCACTCCACTACATTTCTATTGCATTGACATAAAAAAGGAAATTTACTTTTGGTACTTAAGTACTTTTAAAAGCAAGTACTTCTGTACTTTTACTTAAGTAAAAATCTGTCTTTACAACTTTTACTTGTAATGGAGTAATGTTTGACCAGCAGTATCTGTACTTTCACTCAAGTAATGGAGTTGAGTACTTTGTCCGCCTCTGGCCATTTGTGTGCTCTGAAAGGATCATTTCTAAACAATGAGTGAAAAAAGAAAATAAGGGGCACAAGGCAGGAAGCGACACAAAGAAGAGGAGCAAAAAAAAAGAGCACTATAGAGGTAAAAATCACAAGTTAATCACTGTGTATTTGCCCTTGATGTTTATGCAGTATTTTTAAATAGCCTTTTTAGAACATCTTAACTGGCAACACTGACACCGTGGAACGTTTTTGCTTGAGTTAACTGCTTATTTAATTTGACTCTATTTTCTTTAAAATAAATGTAAGCTTCTGTAATGTTGTTTTAATTTCAGTTACATTACTGCTTGCTTTTAATTCACCAAAAAGTGCACAACATGTCTTTTGAAAGAAACTAGGACTAAAATATAGCATTATGAATTAAAATAATTTAAGTTTAAGTATGCCATTTTCCACCGTATGCACAAAATCTAATCTCGAAAATCTAAAATCTCGTTTAGGGCACCAACAGATTCTTGGTCGGCCCTGGTTATATGCCAGTCAGAATTCAGAAATTATTAGCCACATTTCCACTGCGCACACAAGATCTAAACGGGCCAGCCGGAGCTACAGCTTACAACTACGACCTTCGAGGCCATAAGAGGACACAGATATGACGATAAATTTTATAATACTAATAAGCCAACATCTCTGGCTTTTTATTTTATTTTTTTATTTATTGCTCAAAGTTATTTCAGGGTTTTGATCTCTCAACTGAGAGAACACATCCTGTTTATTATATTATAATGAATATTTAATATTGCATTTAAACTTTGACTATAGCCTAGACATTTTGCAAATTAATTGTACTATTTATGAACCTCAAAGCATATGTTTGTGTATTTTGTGTTACTCCATGATGTTCTATTTGAGGGCATTTGTAGTGTAGGTATA